CCTCTGGTGCAAATTACTGACCTCTGTCATCATTTTAAGTGGGGGAACTTGCACAATCGGTGGCTGACTAAATACTTTTTTGCCCCACTGTAGCTCTCCAGAAGACTGGTAACGTGTCCTGGGTGTACCCCACCTGGCCCCATGACAGAAGTGGAAATGGATGGATGGAGTTATATATATTTATATTTGTCTCGCCAAGAGGTCAAAGTAACCGTAGCCTAACCTTAAGTGTCAACAACTTGCAAAATCTTGGAGGAATCTGAGCTACCAGCTTCACCATATAATCCTACAGCGAAACAGGGTGTGCAATTTGCAAGGCTGTTACATTTACATCCCTAATACTTTCCCTTCACACTGTTAATCATAAAATGTGTGGCGGTTTGGATGTCTGAATGTAAAAAATCTTGTGTTATTATTCACTGCTCTAAGATGTACAACATACAGGAAAAACTGACTTATGGAAAACTAGCAAATATTGTAGAAACTCAATTACAAAATAGAATTTTTTTTTCTTGTAAAATCCCCACTCGTATGTGACTTGTGAATATAAAAAGCGAAAAAAAAAAAAGAGTATCAAAACTAACCTTACACTCTTTTGCCAGTTTATGAGGTATACCTTGGTAAAAGCAATAGTCCATGGACCTGGAAACCAATGTCCCAAACTAAAGAAGGGACATTGGTTTCCAGGCCTATAATTATATAGAAAATCCATTAAATGTGGTGCTCCTCAAGGCTCCATCTTAGGTCCTCTTTTATTCCCTTTTCTCTCTCGTTACATGTTACTCTTTGGCTACATCTCTCAAAAAGAGAATATTTATTATTGCCAACATGTGGATCTGCCACGCTGCCACATTAGTCGATAATGCCATGAAATGTTTGACTTATGCTGTATGAAGAAAATCTTTGACTTTTTGGGATGATCGCAAATCACAGATTTAATTTATTTATCATTTGCTTTTAAAGAACTCCATGGATCAGCCAGCACCACAATATAGAACAATAGTTCTAATACCATACTGTGGCTCTAGGTCACTGAGGTCCTCCTCCAAACTTCTTTCAGACCCCAGCTCTTGACTAAGAACCAAAGTTGACAAGACTTTGCAGGGCTCATCCAGAAAGCAGCAATCATTTCTTGAAACTCACCTTTTAGTCAAGTCTGAGGTGCCTCGTAGTTTCTGTCAAGTCCATTGTGAACATGCTGCTCTTTCACTTGTTCTATATTTTCGTATTTGTAGAGTTGATTTTCTTTTAATAATTTTTACCTTGAGTTTTTTTTTAAATTAAAATGACTACTACTAGTCTGAAAAACAGAAAATATCCACTGAGCAGAGGTGCTCTGCATAATAGCCAGTCTGCTTCAAGTTGATAGGAAGGCAAGACAGGTAAGACGATAACCCAAATAACTCATTACAACAAAGGTATGCAGAAAAATGTTCCGTCTTGATGAGTCTTGTTTTCTGCAGACGTCAGACGTTGGGTTAAACAACATGAGAGCACGGATAAATCCTGCCGTGTGTGAGTGTCTTGAGGCTGCTGGTGGTCTAATTGTGTGGGGACATTTTTTGGCACACTCTTGGCCCTTTAGTACCAAACTTTAAACAGCAAGTATTGTTGCTGACCATATCCATTCCTTTATGATCACAGTTGAACCATCTCCTTTATATAAAGCACAATTTCACAAAATTTGAATAATCTCAAACTAGTTTCTTCAACGTGTTTAAAATAGTGACTGTACTCAAAGGGTCTCCACAGCCACCAGATTTCAACCCAACAGAGGACTTTTAGGATGTGGTGGAACGAGAAATGTGCATCATGGATGTGCAGCAACTGTGTGATTTTGTCATATGACTATAAACTGAAATCTCTGAGGAATCTTTTTCCAGCACCTTCTTCATGAAGAATTAAGACAGTTCTGAAGCCAAAGGAGGTCCAACCCAGTACCAGCAAGATGTACCTAATATAGTGGCTGGTGAGTGTATATGTGACTTTGTTTTTATTTTTTAATTTGTTATGCACTCTTTGTTCTTTCTCTATATGAATAAAACATGATATACGCTGAACAGTTACCACTTGTGATAAAAAAAAGAAAAGAAAATAAGGTTAATAAAATATGAACCCCCCCCACTAATCATTAAAGACTGGATTCACTGCGTGGCTGAGGTGTTAGACAGCGACTGCTTCAGCTCGTGTAATGTTGATCTAATATACCGATTTCTAAGAACAAACCAAAGACTAAAACAACCGTTTCCTCTTGTTTGAGCAAAAAGAATTTGGTTTATGTAGAAACAAGCAATGTTTTGCAACTGGATATTTCCCTCCTCTCCAAAAGAGTTAAAGCTAAAAATAAAAAAAGAGAAATGAACACCCACCCCGCTGCACCCAGAATTGCCACCACCTGAAAATATTTGCAGGTTACGGACAGAGTGCAAAGGAAACCCGGGCGACAGCTCACAAGGGTGATGGGGAGGTAAGTGTACAGTACATATATATAAAATATAAAATCTGACATATATTTTATATATATATTAAATTGTGTTAGGATTCAGTATCGTTCACTACACAGCATTAAAGTGGTGTGTCTTATTATCTTTTTTCCTTCATTTTTCTTTTTTCCAACGCTATCATATAAACCAGAGGAGAGTCAAAGCAAAACAAATGAATCAACGAACAAACAAATGTGGGAATAAAATGGAAACTAAGCAACAGACGAAAGGCCTCCGCCCGATCCGATGCCCGTTCCCCGTCCCCCTCCACCCCACAACCACCCTCCCCAGCGGGAGGGGTGAGCTAGCCCGGACGAGGTGGGACAGACCCGTCCAGCTGTACAGCGCAGTGAAACATAACTTACATATTAGCTCATTTTTACACGTACAGTCGTGATCAAGGCACAGGGATCTTCTACAAGTTGTTTTTTTTTTTTTCAATAAAGTTGTACAAAATAATACATTTTACAGTCTGTACAGGAATAATAGTCCAGCAGTAAAATAAAGACAGACGTACTTAAAGCCAGGAAGGGAGGAGGTGGGAATGGGAGAAGTGAGAGAACAAGACGAAAGGTAAACGGTGTGGAGGTGGGTCATAGTGTGGACAAGGAGGCCTGTGAGTGCATGTGCACGGGTGTGTGTGTTAGTGTGTCCGTGTGTGCTGCCAGGTCAGAATGTCGCATCCAGCCCCGACGAGTCGTTTCTTCAACTTCGTACGTTCCTTTTGCGTCGTCATGCTTTCCTTGTTAAATAAAAATTCCACATATTCAATAGTTGTCAAATAGCAGCAGGAGCAAAGGGGGCGAGGATGTATATATTTTATATATGTGTGTATGTGTGTGTGTGTCTGTTGGAGGTTTAAATGGTGCACAAAGGCAGATCTTACACACACAGTGTACACCCACACACAACATGGGGTAAAAACTAACAAAAACTTAAAAGTTGAATTGCGTTATTACAGGAATATATAATATTTATATATTTATATATATATATATACATATTTATATACACACATATATAAATATCTATATATATAGCTTGGATTTTTTGCACTGCATGAAGTTCACTGGTATGCATGAGTTTATGCATTGTATGATATTCATCTTGTTTACTTGTTTTTCTTTTTTTCTGTTGTTATTTTCTGCATCCCTCCTTGGTTGGATTCTTGAAGAGCCGTGTGGTCTTCTGTTAGAGTCACGCTCACGTCCGCAGGCAGCCATTAGTCAATTAGTCCATCTGTCCATCCCTGGGCACAAAACAGCCCTCCTCTGTATCATTTTGCCACCCTCGCTGTCCGCCGTTCTCTTCCTTCGTGTTCAGCACTAGGTGAATAAACTCGTCCCTCTCAGAAGGCATTATTCAATTTAGCCTCTGCCAACTTTGGAAAGCAGTAGAACTTGACTTTTGAAAGGCTCTGTGAGAGTGTATGCGTCTTACTGCGGTATTAAAACCTATCTGAGGTCGTCTCTCATATCTGTGTGTGTTTGTGTACCTGTGAGCATGTGTGTTCATTTAACTGAGAGAGAGCTAAAAGGAGAGTTCGCCTACACTCAGGGATTCCAGTCCTGACCCTCTTTCCTGGGTCAAAGTGTGGCTGAGTACAGCAGTCAGTCCAGGCTGATAGTTGATGATGTGGTGTATCTGTAACAACGTTTCCTTTGTTTTGAAAAGAGTCTTTCCGCTGTTCAGCTTTTCTGCAGTTGTGTTTATCGGGAGAAGCTGTATCGGAGTGGAGGGGAGGGCAAGGCGCTCAGTCGCTTGCTCAGATGTTAGGTGAAGTTGGTGGAAGTGGATGAGTGATTGGCTAACTGGTCGGGAGGGGGTGTTTAGCTAGGTATGATGATAGGTAGTTAAGTAAGATTGGACGCCGCTGCCAATCACAAGAGCTCGTACTGCCGTAGGTGCATCCTCTGTATGATGTCGCGACAGTCATTGAAGACGCGGCGGATGTTTTCTGTGTCGACCGCACAGGTGAAGTGGGGATAACAGTAATGCCGCCCGTCTCCGCTGGCTGTGCTGATCCTCTGAGAAAAGAGACACACAAAGACTAGTTGGTACTGACGATGCCCGCAGAGTAACGCTGATCTAAACTTGTCTACCACTTTTTATTATATAGAAGGGAGTATCTGTATATTATCGTTTCTATATTATCATGTATTTTTTTAATGTAACTATTGAGCTGTCATACATTCCTAATATCCAAAGTTAAAAAAAACCTTATGGGCGAAAATCAGAGAACACTTATATATGCAGTATACTCATTAAAATATAATTATTCTAACACCAAACTGAGGGAGAACTTTTTTCCAGTGGCAGGTATTATACTCACCCACTGATACACATTGATAGTTTGTGTACTCTGGTGTAGTGACAAAATCTACATCTCTGGGACATAAGCGGTCCATCAAATGCTCAAAAACACTGAAACTATGTTCAGCTCCTCCAGCAGTGCCAGAGTAGAGAGACTGAGTGGAGTTCAAGCCAATTTGGAAATGTAAATCAGCCTCTAAAGGAATTTTGTCAGGAATATAACTCAAACCTCATATTAGTCTTTTATGTCATATAAGGAAAAGAAAAAAGGGAAACTAAAGTCAAAGAGGCAAAACAGGTTTTGCCTCTTTGACTTTTGTACACACCAGAAATTCATCCCGTATGAAGTACTTTGCCCTGGTAACACGGGGATCTTCACCTGGCTCTGGTATTGCTGTTGGAAGAAGAAATCTGGTCACATTCGAGTCACCTTCACGCTGCAGCATTAAATAGTCACACGGTGCAGCACTGTTACCACAGAATAAACCACATTAGAGTTAAACTGGTAAAAATGGCCAATACTTTACTTGATCTCAGGACCGTAACTACTGATTCTCACTGAGCGTGAGGAGAAAAACCTCAGCATGTTTACATATTAACATGTCAGTGCCCTGCGGGCGTTAGCATGTGTGACATTTCGATGGAGCACTCAGAACTCAAACTAACCAAGAGCTCTGGCCGTGAAGTCACACGGACACACGATCTAACTGGATAACAGGAGGCAGAGCCTTCAGTTATCAGGCTGCTTTGCTGTGGAACCAGCTCCCAGGGAGGACTGTATTAGGTGATCATGAACCATCCCTTTGTTATTCTGGCTTTGGCTCTGGTCGGTTTATATGCAACATCTGCACATCATAAAGTGTACTCTCCAGTTTTTTTGTTCATGCTGTAGCCACGCTCCCGTTTCTTTGTCATCTCTGGATTGTTTCCCCTCTTTGAGTCTCGGTCTGCTGGTGGTCTCTCTGGAGTGCCTGCTCATAGTGAACTTTTGGATAATACAGCTTCTCCCTCTGATGTTGTACGCTCTCTAACTTGTTCCTTGAGATGAAAGTTGTTAACAGGAGCTATATAAATATTATTGTATTAAAGTGGACAGTTCTGGGGATGTTATTGTGTATCATCAGGGATAATATTTGGGGGGAAAAAAGACTGACAGCAAGATGAAGATGAGCAGATCTAAGAGCGCCAGCCTTACCATCATCAGGCGTAGTGTAGCGTGCAAACTCTGGGAAATACTCCTCAATTTTAGATTTTCCTGCCAAAACCTTCTCAGCAAGCAGGTCCTGTTTGTTCAGGAAGAGGATTACAGAAATGGTCCGTAGCCACCTGCGGAGGGAAGTGAGCAAGTTCAGACCAAGGTTAGTTTCAGACCCAAAACATGTGTTGCTGGAGAGTCACTGTTTTAAAAGTAGAAATTACATTTTAATAGACTTTGGCTGGAGAACACGGCAATAATTTACTCTCTGGAGTTCTGGGTTTAAAAGGTCTTAGAGCTTCTGCCATAAACAGCCCATATGGAGTCAAAGGCGGACATGGTGTCTGCTCAGAGCTTTGTCCCTCTACATATACACCCTGAATCAGAAATTTCACATTTTCTTGATTTTCAGAAGAATTTTTTAGTGCACCGTTCACGTAAACGTATCGAGCGCTTTGTTTAAATTTACTGTACTTATCTCTGAAAAGAAATGACTTCTCTTACCAAACTAGCAAAAGCAGCAGCCCCTCAGATGACAAACCTTCCCAGCTTGATTTGTGTTTTCATTTGCACAGCTAACAGAAAGCTCACATCATGTCTCATGTTCTTTTGATCCTATTTTATCTTTGTTTTTTCCCCCGTATTTCCCTGCTGTGTGCAAGATGGCTTGTAACTAGGCATTCCTCTCAACTCAAAGTAAAAGTTTTATTATTGTATTGTATTGTTGTATATGACTTTCTTTTAGCCCAAACAATGGAAAACTACCAGTCACAGTAATCATATACTTCACTCTTAAGTTGCTCTTATGTCTGCTCCCTTTACCTTCTACATAAAGGGAGCTAGAAAGGGACCAAAGTGTCACAGCATTTAGTTTCTATAGTCTTTTTAGCAACATTTCTTGGCTTTTATGACTCCCTTTTGTCTCCTCACCTTCAAACAAAAAAAGACAAAAACAGAAAAGAAAGAAATGTGTCCAAAGAAAAATTTGTCTCCGACCTGTTGTTCCAAATGTTCTTGAAAAGATTGAGGGCTTCCTGTAGTCTGTTAGTCTGATTATCTTCTCTGATCACCATGTTGTAGCTGCTACTCGCCACCACAAAGATGATAGCTGTCACATCTGCGGCACACAACACAGAGCAGGATTAATAAAACCACTATGAATAAAAATACCCAAAAACTGAAGATACACAACCTTGTTCTCAACTTGGACTTTAAATGAACGCACATGCTTCAATCCAGTTACGGATTCCTGAACACTACATATATATCTGCTTTAGTAACTTTATAAACCCAATGACATGAAAAAAGCAGCAAAGTGAGTGTTAGATACTTCAGAAATAATTCAGGATCATCTCCTACCATTAAAACACTGGATCCACTTTCGCCGTTCATCCCTCTGACCTCCAACGTCGAACATACTGAGAGACAGAGGAAGTTAAAAAGTTTTATATTTACACTTTTAAAACAGTATTAATCCTTTTATTTGACTTTTTTACTTTCGCTCTATCGCACACATCGTGATAAATAAACATTGAGGTTGCTCACTGGAAATTAACTTTGTCTATTTGAAATCTTGTCTCGAAGATCCCAGATGTCAGTACTCTGCATCTTAGCAGGTCCTGGAAAAAAAAATAGGAGTAGGAGGGTTAAAGCACAAGTGGACAATGAAGCATAAAATGGCAGTAAATGGGCAAAAAGTCGACTTTCGCGAGGAAATAAAACTAATAAAGATAACTGATGCGTGCGTCTTGAAAGTCCATCTAGGGAACAGCATTTAAACTTAAATGCCAGGATGTGTGGCACAGTTCATATTATGCACTTATCCGTATTGATACACATTATAAATAAAATAATTTTAAAAAGAAGCTGTGCATATAGTCCATTTTCAATAAGACATACTGAATAATAACACCTAATAATGAATAGTGTTTGTAGATGAGTAGATTTTTTGTAAAAACAGGTCAAAAACAATCAAATTCAAAGTTTTATCTGACTATCTAAATCAAATAAAAGCAGATAAATTCCACACTCATTTTACTTTTAATTTTTCTATATTCACTTTCCATTTCCCACGGCACTGTTCTTACTCGCTTCTACGCTAATCACAGCTGATTGTACATAAAAATCTAGAAAGTATTCACCAACTATGATTTTAAAAACTGCCACAAATGTGGTAATTATAATTTTCTGCAAACACAATGACACACATTTTCTATATGCAAACATGCCCTGTGCATGGCTCTGCTGCCCTCAGTGGTGATGCGTAATTACAATGCCGTCATGAAGGTCTCTTCATGCTTTCCACGTCCACACGGGTCGTTGGGACGTGAACTTCTCCATCTGCACACGCTCGTTTCACGTATGATATGACGCGTACTGCAGTTCACATCCTTTGTCTGGTTCCGGCTACACAGTTAAACACACTCACACTTTTTACTTCTTCTCGAGTTTCCCCAAGATTAAACTTTGACACGTCACAGAAGGGAAGGCACAGGTGCCTCCAAATAATATACACAGAGCATGAGTGTGTCATGATGGGAACCTGAAAATCTGCTTACAGGTTGTTATTGCAATATTATTTGAGTTTGGTGAATAAATGCAAATGTCTGACAGGCTTTGCTCTGGTGGTTCATCACCTTCAATCCTGTTTGTGTTATTACAGTGAACTCAAAAAATGAAAGCTACAAGAGAAAAAAACATTTTGATTAACTGGAATAGAAAACAAAAACTACTCTCCATTTTCGTTTTTGCTCAATTTGAACATTATAGAATATACTAAACACTGGTGAACATTTTTAAACAATAAAATAACAGAATATAACTGAAACTTACAAAACTAAATAAAAATGATAAAAACTGTTATAACTGGTGTTTGAGTGCTGACTGCCTCACCTGATCAGTGGGTGTGTAGTCGTTCTGCCTGACCACATCAATCCGGTCTAGGAAGCTGCAAAGACAACACAAAAGCTTTTAAATCTCAGCTGGAACTGTATAGAAAAAATATATATACAATCTTACAATAAAACTAATGTATTGCTTACTTTCACAGTAAATCAGTCCATTTTAACTAACCACGGTAATCTTCAAAATAAAACCTACTGAACTGTAAACGCAACTTAAAATCCTCCTTAACTCACCAACCTATCAGACTGGAAGAGTTTGGCTTCAAAAACGCACACAAACACAGGCCGAGCGCTGCTGCCGAGCACAGCAGTGAGAGCTCGGGAAACATGGAGGATATGAGTCCCTGAATGGCCACGAGGGGGCGAGTGTTTGAAATCGCAGCGAGATCAGAGGCAGCCAGTCTGAGTCACCGGCAGCCGTTTGCTCTGTCAGACTGAAGAAGCCTCGTCAATGGAGCCGCTGTAGTAGTACTTGCACAGAAGGAGAAGTGTGTGTGTGTGTGTGTGTGTGTGTGTGCGTGGGTGGGTATGCAGGCCTACAGCGCGTTCATATTTTGAAGAGCGCCTACCCAAATGCATGTTAATGGTCTGTGTGAACGGGTGTCTGCTTTCAAGGTGTGCGAGGCAGCCTGACGACTCTTTCGGAGTTGTCTGGACCACAGACACTTTTACACTAGTACCCGTCGTGTACATGCACACCAGCATTAATAAGATTGCCTAAATTTCACACAGGAAAAAAAACCAACTTCCCTATCATCTCCCTTCGAGCCACTGCACATGCATGTAAATAAAATGAAGGTGGAAAATTAAACTTCCAAGCTGTCCAGACAGGACTTTCAGATGTAAAGAGGTAAACATTATCAAAGAAGAGTTGCTCAGCTGTGGCATGGAAAGAGGAGTGAGCTGAATTCAGGCCAGTTATACCGAAAGGAATTTGGTGATTATCTTTAAGCAGCAGTGTCGCACTCGCCTGCACTGATCGAGCACAAGTGCTGCAGTTTTCCTACAGAAACTGAGCTGAAAACTTCACAATCGCAGCTTTAATATCATGCAAATGTTTCAATCACGGATTCTGCTCTCAAACTTAAACATTTGCATATTAAACTTTAGCCCTTCCTCGTGTGTGTTACCATGTTATATTAAACAACAAGATCTCAAGTAAATACTGAATGGACCTGAAATGCAGTACAAATAATTACAGGGTCTCCGACAGATATAGCTTGAAATGCAATGGGAGTCTTTCTGCAGAAAGAAACTTGAAAATTACCTCCATACAAATTGTTAAAATAAAACACCAAATACGCTAAATGTACTTTATTGTACCTTATTGTACTTTAACCTTAATGTACTTTAATGTACCTTATTCTGATGCATTTCTACTTCACGAAATTGCGGAACAATATTTAAATATTAAAGCTTTCCCCTGAGCAGCATGTTTTAAGCAGGGATGAGAGTTATAGTGCAGTAGTGTTAAAGTGTAGCCACACAGTTAATGCTTGCTAATTTTAAAAAAATGAACAGACATGGCTTTGATGTGTTAAAGCACTGCTTGCAACTTCATCTAACCAATTTTATTTTAAATCTCTGCAAAGCTTCACCAACCAAAATGCTTTAAGTAATCCCTGACTGCTTGTTACAGAGTAGTTGCTAACATACTGCGTTCCCACTCTGTTCCTCGGCCCGCCCGGCTGTCTGCTTTGAATAATTGTCTACGCTCTATTCTTACAACTAGCAAGGCAAGACACTGGCCTGCAGCCGCCTCTCAGAGAACAGGTATGCAGCCCCCTCTGAGATAACTAGGAATGTTGCGGGCAGGGGTGAAATGTGACAGAAGGGCTGCAGGTAACACACTGAGAGGAACGGGGGGCTGCGTCTGCAGGCGCTACAGTGCTGGACAAACGGACAAAAAGACCCCTGAGCCAGGAAGGAGAGGGAGGAGAAAGGGTTCGCAGAGACAAAGAGCGGGCCATGCGCATTTCTCTGCACAAATGCGCACTGACACAGATATTCATGTAAAACACACAGAAAGACCATTAGGCAGTCAGCCGGTCTGGTACCAGCCGCTCTCTGCAGGGGCCAAGTGGCTCAGGTGCTCCCACACCTCAGCACCTTCGAGTCAAACTTCAGCCCATAACATTACATTATTAGTGAGCACCTCAACAACAAAACTTTCATTTTGGGTGAAGGTGAAAGCTACAGCTCTAATGATGAGAGTTAACATGCCTGCCCCCAACATCTGCTGAGGCCAAAATCTTGTCTGAGGCATCAACACGCCCAGGACAAACACACTGCTCAATTTTTAGCACTTCTCCCTATTAATAGGAGAAGTGCCAATAATAACCATGCCTACTAAGCTGAACTAAATAATAGTGGCTGCCCCAGTAACAGAGAGGTCTACGGTGTTATGTATATCCACAGGGTTATTCTGGGGTAGCAGACAGGGTGACTTAAACTCTGGAAATATACACAGGTCACTTGTCTGGTGGCTAAAAATGACCCAGTATTTACAAGAAAAGCTAAAATTCATTCTTCTGTTTTCTTTGGGTTTCTTTTCTTTTTTTTTGCAGATACAATAAATGTAGGCCACGATTGTGGAAAAATGAAAACTAAATACTCTAGCATTTACATATTTTTAAAATGTCATATTTACTTCAATTCTTTATTTGGATTCATTGTTTTATTGCCACACAAACAACCCTGAAGGATATTTAAATATGCTTGTTCAAATTTATAAAATAAAAATCACATGTTTTATCAATTATATTTTAAAAAATAGACTTTTTTTTTTAAACAAAAGTTAAATTACCAAATTTCTTCTATATTATTGCTACAATAATTAAAGCCTATTGGACTGCTATGAAAACACCTTTTAACTGGATCTGCTTTGCACGTGTAATTTTGAACATGATGAAGTTGAAATTGTTTTAAATTATTGTTTTTGTTTTTTTCATGTGTTGAAAAACAAACAAACAAAAAAAACGTAACAGCAGCAGCGCACTGTCCCAACATAGCTGACAACACTCCCATAATGCATTTATCTTGTAAAAGTGGCAGTATTAGAACAAAGGATTACTCAGATTATGAGCTTTCATACGTCCTCATCTCTACTCAGCATTAGATTACTCTGACACACAACTGTGTCGTCCGGCCTGCAACCTTACAGCTGGTAAGGATAAAACAGAAACAGATCAAACGTAACAGGATGGAGCAGGTTTTTATGTTTTTAGGGAGCCAAATTTTCAGATCATAGTACTTTAATTTTAAATTACCTTCATATGAGAAACAGTTATGAAATGTCTGTTTTTAAAAAAAAAAAGCCAGTATTTGATCAAAGAACACATTAACTGTGTTAACAGTTTAATAGTACCAGAGTAATAATTAAAGTATTTTAACCTGTATCAGGGTTTGTAGTATAACAAGATACAAACACACAGCATCTGGAAAACTTTGCCCCACCGCATCCGAGCAGCTCCGCTGTGTGACAACACACACGCAGACACACAAAAATATGCGAGCAGGATTGCGTCCCTAAAAAGCGCCTCTTTCCACATCTCCTCAAATCTATTCATGTCCAAGCAAGTTTTCAGAAGTTCAACCACCATGTCTTTACACAAAAGTAAAAAATGAAGACGCTCAAAAACCTTTACAAGTACAGAAAATGCACATTCCTGAGAAGCTGATTAACAGGAAAACTGTAAAACAGGAAAACTGTGAAAACAAATTAAAAGATTATTAGAAGTTTACAAAAAAAAAGGATACATTTTAAAATTGTAAATTTAAGTATTAAATCCTTAAATATAGTTTAGTGTTAATTTTACTGACAATAATTTGGCCATTTATTAACATTTAAATTTG